ATGCAGGTATACATCGGCATCGTTCCGTGCTTTCATTCGTTCGCGGAAAGAAGTAAAGAGCTTTGTCGCCGCGGCATCAAAAGCTTGAATGACGCGACGATGAAAGAAGGAAGTATCGGTACAAGAAACTGCACAGTGAATACTGAAAAGAATGTAGTCACGAGGGGAAGGGAGGGGGGAGGGGGCGAGCGGGTAGTTGAGACGGGAAGAGTTAAAAAGGAAAGGAAAAGATAGCGAAAACGGGAAAGGGGGAAAAAAGGAAGGAGGAGCCGAAGGAGCATTGCGGAGAGAGAACCCTCCGCGAAAAGACCGATAAAAGTTTCTGCCTCGAGAGATGGATATTGAGAATGCGTTCCACGATCTGCTACTACGATTTATTAATTAATTCATCCGTCTCTGATAGGAAATCGACTAACTATTTTCCATTTCTAAAATGATCGTCGAAAAGGAAATAACATCGATATCGTCGCCAGAATTTATCGGATAAAGCCGTGGGGGTGTACGAACGAACCCTATAGTCGTTACCTCGTTAAGGTACGAGAAAACATCTCCGTGGATTACATCATTGTCAGGTGTGGCGGAGTTCTAATAGCTAAGTCAGGTACGCAGGATTACGTTAAACTATTACGAGCCTTCAAAGCACAAGCTTCGTTGTGCATACATATACTGCACACTATACAGGGTGTCCCGTATAGGCGGCCCGTGGAATCACGGCGAAATGACGTAAAGCTAGGAAGGGAGAGGAGAGAGCTGAAAAGCCGTACCCGCGGCAGCGTATGCAGATAATCGGTACAAAGCCTTTCGTCGAATGACAAAGGAGAGCAGTGGCCAGCCTCATGGTTCTCTCGCATCTATATGCCAACGCGTGCATACACGCTCGTATTCAGCCAGTATTATTATACTAGGTGGCAGCGTACTACTACGACAGGCCCAGTTTCCAGAGCTTTATTCCAATCGTTAGTAGTAAAACGAGACAAGGGTCTTCGCAGAATTCCCTTAACTTCGTCACAGAGGAAAAAATACGATATTATGAAAAATTCTATAGATCGTTAATCGGATATAGGAACTAATGAGAAAAGAAATATTTATGCTTGATTAATGAAACAGTTCGCAATTATTGGCTACCTGGAATTGTAACCGGTGTATACAATAAAGCATGCTACTCTCTCTAGCTCGTCGACAACAGGTTAGAAAGCAACATCTTATTTCGATAAAAGTCGCGGAAGTCTATTAATCACTGGAGCGCATTGTGACATTCAACTGGACGGCATTCAGGGTTTCAATATTATCAATACTCAACAGCGGGGCCAGCATCCGCGTCTATTCAAAGAGAGTTTATCAATAGGGCGCAGGACACTCTTACTGTATCCGCCTGTAAGGCGTTCTAAAGCTCGGCAAGGCTGCTCGTATAACTTTTTCAAAATAACCGCCAGCGAACAGGAATTTTTCATTCAAAACACTGTTACATGCATATTTAATGCCTGTCCGTTAAACTTCGACTATACTGAACACGGATTCTCAATTAATACTTTCAATGTTCCACGCGTGAGCTTAACGTCTCGGGGAGCTCAACTTTTGCAATGTGGACAGAAACGAACAATTTGACCACTCAAGCACGTACGTGAAGAGAGGATCTTCTTGATATTACAAGGTCGAAAATAATCCTGGGATGAAGTGATTGGTGAGGTTTCCGAGAAAGGCAAAGAGGAGTGGACACCATTCTTTCTTAGGTCCGATTAAGCCTATTAAGACTAATAATTTATTTTGATCGCAACTTACGCGACTAGCATTCAGAATCGGAGAGTGTGATCGTCTGAAAAACACTCATCGGTTTTCAGATCACAATGAATCAGGCATGTCCAAATCCAAATCTGTTTTTAAGGGTAGGAGTGCTCTCGCTGGCTCCGGAGTTGAGTGAGTGATGAGCCGAGCGCGGAGCGGAGAGTCGTGACATATCCGAAGACTACTGTATTTCGACGTAAACTTTGAATCAGTTCATTCAATGCGAATGTACGTGTATCGTTCGTTTACTACTAGAACGATCTTGCTTACGTTCAACCGCGAAGTCGCCGTAGTATAAAGCGGTTTCTGAATCCAACGCGTGCGTGCCGAGTCACCATGTATAATATCAACCGCGATCGTCACGAGCGAAGGACTCTCAGAGCGTTAGCCGCTCTTGGGTACTCCTCGGAGCCCTTCCGTGGGCATGCTTACGATGAATGATGAGTTTCTCGCGCTCCAGAGAAATAAGAGCCCACTGGCCACGGGTATTTCTCTCGCGCTCGGTAAATACAGAAATTCGAACACAATTAGTTTTCACGCCGAGTTAATTAGGAACGTTATCTTCGAAGGCTCGTCGAAGGCATCGTGTGCAGCGAGAAGCATGTCTCCCCACTGCATTGACGGTTTAAGCGAATTCGCCGTTAATTCGGCTAACACAAAAGTACAAAAAGAAAGCCGAAAACCCAACGAATTTGTGAAATGCACGGTTTCGTGACCAACAGACGATTCTCTCCACGGTCCAGTTAGACGATACAGAATTAAGCTCGAAAAGTGCTCGGCGTGTACCGGGACAGTGGAATACCGTGCCTATAGAGTTATAAACAGCGACAAAAGGATACCGAGTGGGCGACGAGCATTGAATGTACGAGAAAGGATTGTATGCTGACGATGGTAGCGACGTTGCTGTTGCTTTTGGCATACGTACATACATATGTCACGTAGCGTGCTTTTCGGTGTATCCGTGTTGCCGACAGAAAAAGGGAGTATTTTAGCTAGCGTCCATACGAACGTAGGGGCGAAACAATGTAGCTTTTGTGCGAGAAAGAAACAGAAAAGCCAAGCCAAAGAGTGAGTCTAAGAGCGATTGAAATACTCGGCCGTCTGTCTTCTGCTTTCTACGCCTTCCTCTTCGTCTCACCCTCTACCAATCCTCTTTTTCTTTTCCTGCGTCGTTGCTCTCCTATCGTCTTGCACTCACAATCAAATATCCATACACAGTCGTAGCTTCTTTCGTAGTCTGTTTCATTCTCACTTTGATCGTGAGATGGCTACGACTTCAAACACGTTCACGTTTTCCTCTGGCAGCAGTGAAACATTCCGTATCCCGTCATCTTTTACTAGATTCGCTTAACCCCTGACCCATTGGCCTTGACCTCTTAAATTTATAGTAGGAGTCCTTCTTCATGTAACTTCTAGATGTGGAAACTATTACTCAACGACGACAACAGACACGGCGAAAGAAAAACGTATTACCGTCTGGCATACATGAGATTTCATATAGATGATCTGTTGAATCAAAGTTGATACAAAAGTTCTTCGCAACAAAGGATTCATTCTTTTTGTTGGACCTTTGAGTCAAATGAAGAAAGGCTGACAGAATGAGAAAGTAACGACGCGCGGTACGAAGACGCTGTTAGCAATAGGAGGGTGGTATGTGCAAGATGGGGTGAGTATTAGTAGACATACATAAACGTGAGGGGTGGTTGCAGGTTGATAGTCAAGACTGCCTTCAGATTCCAGAGTGAAGCATTGTGTCCCGAACACGCATTGTCCTCCCGTCACCGGGAACTCGACAATGCCGAGTCCGTAAGTTAGTAACCCTACCGTAAAAACTTATCTCCACCCCAAACCATCGACCTCCAGCCTCCGTGATTCCGTTCGATTCCCAACCTTCCCCCGCCTTCTCTTCCGTTTTCTTGTCCTGCCTCGTGACTTCTACCGCTTTTCTAAGAATCAACGATCTCTATTACATTCTTGTTCTTCCATAAACTGTCTATAGGAAATTTGAATTTAACTTCTTATTGTTGCATAAGATTAGCGAAGGAAACAGTAATTTAACACGATGAAATCCTCAGTTCAATCGGACTGAACCGCGTCAGATTAAATCATGTATCTTAAGCAATTTGTGATATTTTTAAATAAAATTCATTTATCAGTTTTTTTAATACTACAATTTAGTATGCTGACAAATTGATTGATGAGTAACAGCCGAAGAAGTCGATGGTCAGCAAGCCAAGAGACACTTTCGGATCGGAAGTGAACGTCCTAGGGACCGGATACAAACATTAGGGGTTGGCGGGCGGTCCTCTCGTTGGGACTCAAGTTGCCGAGCAGCCGGACAACGCGTGGTCGCCGGACAAAGCTCTTCTAATTGTCCCCATCAACGACGAAGAATGGACCGCGGGCCTGCCGCTGACAATTTCATTTGTAATTTGCATAAGGCTTATTAAAATCACAATGGACGCGGACCCACGGGGATGCTCGATCGAGGTAGCCGCAGGCTTCTTTTTTCGTTTGCTCGATAGAGAATAATCACGGTCACCGCTGAGCTCGTAATTGAACTTTGATAAGGTGCACCGTTCACTTCGATCATTCGCATTTACGTACTATTCATTCAAAACAAATAACTGATCAGCTAACTACTTGATTATTATGACGAACTTACGTATTAAACAGTTGCTCCTACACGTTCTCTTATCCATAGCTGTATCCTGGTATATTTGACACACTGTTTCACTTAATTATACATTTAGAAGTCACATTTAAAAAAAAAAACGAAAAATAAAGAGTATCATTAAAATAAAAAGATGTGTCTAATTCGGTTTTACAGGAAGAAAATAAACGGTTCCTTACGTAAAAAACTAATGACAAATGACTATATAACAAGAAATTGATTTACAGGTTATCTTTTGCACGACTTATGAATTCACGTTTCCCGAAATGTGTCGCGCACGTGAAAGACGGCGCGGAACTGAGCCATCTCAAAACGCTATCATATCGCGCGCTACCACATTCCCCCACCATTTCCTATCAAAATGCGTCTACGCATCTCTCATCCAGGCTGCTATAAAAAATCGTTTTAATGCAGATATAAACTGGTATTGTTTACTGAATCGTCTAATATAAATATAATCGCTTCACTTAAAAAATAAAAAAATAAAGAAGGGAAGAAGTATTGAAATGACGATAGAATATCATTATTTTTTTAATGTTTTTCTTTGCTAATATCCCATATGGTTTACATGATATAAAATATTTTTACTTGAAATTAATGTCTGACTCTAGGGCAGCTGTTTTCCAAAATACAAATGCCTTGATCTTTGTCGCGTACGTATCCAACTTTGCAGACGCAACCACTCAAGCAGCTTTTCGTCTGAATGCAAGGCACCGAGTCCCAGTTATCAATATTATTGCATGTCTTTTGACAGATCGGATTTGCCTGGCACTGACTGTAAACTTCATTTTCTCCACAAGTATCTTCGGTATAGAGTATCTCTGGCTCTTAAAAATTTAATCGAAATAACTATGACTTAAAATTCGTTTTTTTAATGAAAAAACGCGAGATTAAACTTTTAACAAGATAGATACTTACTAGAGAGTACTGATCCCGTTGCCATGTTTATACCCACGAGCAAAAGAAAACTCGTGATAATTAAAACAAAATACTCTTGTAAAGACTTCATTTTTCACCAAGTACCGAAGAATAAATGCAAGCGACGATCGAGGCTGCAAGTTTAAATACCCGGTCGCGAATGGAATACAGAGATATCCAAATTGGTGCGCTATCAATAAAAGAACCAGTTTTAATCGCACAAAGGCAATGTTCTCTAAACGAGGACTCTGTAAGTGGCGCATCAGGGAGATAAAAAATGAAACGATGTACGTATTAACGATTAAGGTATGTATGCGGGCGGAAAAGTAAGTATTGCGGAACGACTAAATTTCCTGTTTTCACGTTATGTATTTGCGGATCTTCGAATTGTACAGCAACTCGTTTACATACAACATATATAAGTGTCTTACTAGTAAATTATTTGTGTGATCTTAAAATAAGTATTCGTAATGAAGAGGAGTCCTGTGATAACGTTTGTTGCAGAACGAAGCGCTTACAAAAGAATAATCCTGAATGCTAGATGCAAGGAAAAAGCTATTCCTTTACTAAGAATGTCTCTGCATGGCAATTCAAATTGATTTAACAGGATTTGAATCAATTAAAATCTAAAATGTTCGTAAATTAATATAAGGTTGGTTCGTGTTAAACACAAGACATCGAAACGTAAAGTGTAACACTGAAATCTTGCGAATTAGAACGTAAACTGAGAGAAAATTCGTGTCTAATTAAACTTGCAAAAGATGTATTACTAACTCCTAATAGTGACAATGATTGATAATGAAAAGCCACTCGCGTACATCAAATGCTGCGACCAAATACTTCCCTTCATGAATGTACGACATAATAGAAGCTTCTCTTTCTATCTTAATGTATATGTTACATCGAAGTAAGAAAAATTCTACAATACGGGAATAAGTACTAAAGTCGAAAGGTGAATAAAATTTTTTTCGCTAACGAATAAAAAGAGGGGTCAACGTTCGTAGGTGTACGTGATGCGAACACGTTATTGCATCGACAAAAAGCACATTTGTGTGCATCATATCACGAATATTTACTACACATTCAATACGAACATGACAATCGAGTGAAACAGACGCAAAGATCTTGATCAATGGTACAATACAATCGTGTATGTATCATAAATTTTCTTTCGCATTTTTTGATAAAGGAGCAAAGAATAAGAAATTGTATTTCTCTCGATCGCCATATCTTTTCATTCACGACATACTATCTTCTTTACACTTTGTTTCAAGTGTACCGAATTCGTTCGATACAAGAATAGAGTAAGAAGTCAGTGTCTCACGTGACCCGATCGATGTTCAACGGTGAGGAAAATAACTATATCACAGATGAAGGAGAAGAATCGAGGGAACAGCAACGGCAACGGTCTACCAAACCTTTGCAGCAAGGGCTCTCTGCATTAAAACAGTCTTGCTTCGTTGCTTCATGCGTTCAATGAAGTACTCCTTGCCTTCCAGGTTATCGCCGGCAGGTCCAACCTCCTCATTCTAGTAACAAACGAGAGTTAGTTGGCTCCTAGGTCGCACATTTCTTGCACGTGTGGCTCATCATCATCATCATCACCATCATCATCCTCATTATCATCACTTATTCCTCATAATATCATCCGGATTATCATGATCGTCAGCACGAAGATAGGCTGTTCTCTCGCGAAAGCCTATACAGAAGAGACCTAACCAACCTTGTTAGCTGTGTCGCCCCCCTCGCCCTCTCCCCACCTCTCGTAGTCATCATCGTCTCTTTCTTCACCCTCACTCAAAGGTCCATCTTGTCTTTTACTAGGAGGGACGTTCGATCCTCCACCACTTTGTTGATGCTCTACCGCGTCATCTCCGCCTTCAAGCATTTTGTTGATCTTCTCTTTCGCCTCGTCGACCTTCCTCATTGGGTCGGGAGAGTAACTACGATCGCTGTATCTATCGCGCGAATTAGCACGGCGGTCTCTAAAGTCTCGTCTATCACGGAAATCGCGGAAGCCTTGCTTACCGTGGAAGAATCTACCGCCACGGTTTCCGCCACGCCCGCGCCCGCCACCGCGATTGTTAAAACCACCGCCCCGTCTATTGCCGAAACGATTGTTATGCTGATTATTATAGAATCGATTACGATTTTGGAAATTATTGCCACCGCCACGATGGTTAGGATTATTGAAACCTTGGAAACGTGGCTTATAATAAGTGCCGCGGTTATTGTACGGTCGGAACTGTCTCTTCCTATAGTAACTTCTATCTCCAGATCTGCTGCGACTACGACTTCTGCTGTAAGAACGGGAACGTGATCTAGAACGCGACCTGCTATAAGTGCCTGATGGAGATCGACTGTATTTTCTTTCGTAACTGCCCGATCTTCGGTTAGAGTATGATCGTGAACGGCTTCTGCGGGGTGAACGAGATCTTGAAGATCCCGAGCTGGAGGCACTGCGCGACCTACTGCGCGAACGTTTCGCTGGACGGTCTCTACTCATTCTCTTCGAAACGGCTCCACCTCTGCTAGACGATTCACGTTTCTTAGGCGTCTGTCTGTGCTGTCTCTCCGTTTCACTGTCAGAATCGGTCCTGGGTCCTTTGGCCTGACTTGGATTTTTCGTCGGCGGAGGTGGACGCGGTGGTTCTGGCGGATGGCCAGCTCCACTATTACCGCTCTGACCAATTGGTTGGAATTTCCCACCCAGGTTATTACTAGAACTGAACTTGGTAGGCGTCGCTTGCGGTGCAGATATCGAAGGATCCTTGTACGATTGGAATTTGTTTTGTGGCTGTGGCGTAGGATATTTTACCGGCGCTTGTTTCGGAATCGGTGGTTCTTTGGGCAATGGCGGCGGTGTAGGGGCAGTCATAGGCTGAGCAGCCGCTGCTCTCTTTTCCGCGAGTTCGCGTTGCATTTGCTTCCGTATATTCATGGATTTCTCCAATGCCGCACGTTGGAGCTTCTCTTCCAGTTCGTTATCATCATCTTCATCACTATCAACGTTAGCTTGCATCTTCTTGTTCTCCGGAGGAACGTCCTGCCATTTTTGTGGAATGACGTCCTTTTGCCTAAATAAGTAAAGAAATAGCCATGATTAAATATGCAGTGACTTCTTTAAGAATATTTTTAAATTGCTATTATTGAATGCTTTACCTAGCTGCTTGGGCAGCTTTCCATTTCGCATTTAATGCAGCCGTGTCGAGAGTAGGTAATTTGGGTTCAGGATGGATTAGCTGGGACTCCTGCTCAAATATGTCTGTGAGTGGCTTTCTTTGGATTTCTAAAAGAATAAAATTACACGAAATTAAATGACATACAATAGAGACGAATGCAGCACGTAATCTTTATGATAGCCTTGAATTTTACCTTTGCGCTGTTGTGCGGTCATGGGCACTCTAGCTTCCCGTTCGTGGTACGCCTTTGAAGCTTCATCCCTTTCTCTTTCCCTCTCTCTACGCAGCTCCTCCTCCCTTCGCGAGCTCTCAGCCAGTTTCTCCGCGTTGCTAAGAGGGGAAGCTATGTCATTAAACTGAGCTACATACCTAGTAAATATAAAAACATAAATAAAATATGATAGGTTAAAACCCGCGTTTCCATTCATGTATCCTCAAAACATTAGACGGAAGACGACATAAATACGGAAAATCGGCTAAGGAAACAAATTAGGTGCGGAACGGAAAATAATACCTGCGATGTTTTTTTATGAAACAATTGCATAAAAAACATTCCGTGAAAACAAATTAACGAAACGGAAACGAAAATGAATGATCACGGACTGGACGTAAAGGTTCAAACCTTTTCAGCACAGCAGTTTCTTTTTCAACTTTTGCATAATAAGCAGTAAGCTTTGACTCCAACTGTTCTAAATCCGGCAACGAAGACTTCTTGAGAGCCTCCAAATCCCGTTCAAGCTTGTCCTTGTTTTTACGTTTCTTACGCTCTTCTTTCTTCTTTTTCTTCCTACTCTTCTTATCCTCCTTTTCTTTCTCTTTCCCCTTCTTTTCCTTTTTCTTTTTCTTCTTCATTTTCTCACTTTCCGAATGTTTCTTTTCTTTCTCCCTCTCCCGCTTCCATCTAGCAGTTTCTTCCAGGAATTTCCTTACCTGTTAACATAAATAAACTAATGGTCACCACGTTTGTAACAAACGAAACTGAATTCAAAATGTGTGTAAAAATATGATTCTTACCTTATCTTCATAGTCAGAATCATCTTTCGTCTGTTCTAAAAATTTCCGTACTTTTATCTCGTAATCATCCATTTTATCCCGGCTGTTCGAACTATAGGATACTGGTGCAATTGCAGCAGCAGGTGGATTGTTGTATTGAGCCATACGCTTGCTAAGGGGTGAGAGCGAACCCCGATGATCTTTCTTGTGCTTTCGCTTACGACCTGGTGACCGAGACGCTGAACGCGAACTTGCAGACGATGACGTGCTACTGGTTTCGGAGCTAGAAGAACTTGAAGATCCACTTGATGACGAACTGGAACTTGAACTCCATCTCTGTCTCTTCTTCGAACGCGATTTTCTTTCCTTCTTGCGTTTCTTCTTTTCCTTTTTATTTTCGGCGACATCGTTCTCAGTCTCAAAACTCTTGAATGAATCCAATGGATTCAATGACGATGTCAGTGTCTTGGATTTAATATATTCAATTGAGTTTCTGGCCTCTTCATGGAATGGAACAATTGCCAGACAGTTCTCGTACGCTTTTTGGGCTTCTTCATACTTCTTCTCATCCTCGTAACTCCGGCCTAGAGCAACAAGAGTCTCAGCCATGTATTTACGAGCGTTCGTGTGAGTTTGGTTCAATTTCAATGCTGTCTCGAAGTCATCTATTGCTTTCTTAAAGCTGCCACTATTGGCATATCTGTAACAACCAAAATGTAAACATATAATGTACACATAATTCGAAACAATTTGCTTTGTACATCTGGCATGTAATCAAAGTGACTCACAGTGCTCCACGGGCTACTAATCCTTCAACGTTTCGAGGGTCTACGTTGAGTGCCTTATTAAGACACTGGAAAGCTTCCGTGTGACGACCAGCCTTAAAATGGTCTATGCCTTCAGCGACGCTTCGGAACGCCCACTTACTAGCTTGTGCCTGTCTTAATTCGGTTGCATATTCATTGGGTGGGAACCTTTCTCTGCAACAAAAACAAAAGAGAAACGATTTTAAAAACAATAAAAACTAAATCGCAACAAATCCACTCATCTCGTATAACAAAAAATACATTCTTTACGTATAAATGTAAGAAACTGATGCTTTACCTCAAACCGACCATATTGGAATGATTCTCCTGACCGAGACCCATCAAGTCGCAAAGATATTTAATGTTGTTCGGGTTGTTGAAGCCAGTACTATTCTCCAACATCGCTTCGTACGACTGCCCTTCGTTGTCCATTGCTTTCCTACACCACAAAGAGAAAGAATTAATTATTAAGATGAAAAAATCGTTTTGACCTTTGGCAAAAAGAGAATACCAAAGCTACTTTGTTAACGGTAAAACTAAAGACTTGATAATCATGGCGACCGAATATTTGCATGTCCTGAGCATATTCCCTGGCGATACATTTATTTAAATAGTTCATACTTTCCATCTAATTCTTTTCGACGTCTCATCGTCTTATTTATGTTCATGCATATTAACATGCATATCCTTCTTGTTCCTTATTCCTTTGCACATGTGACCATGCGGCAGCACCGTTCATTGGTTTGTTCAACTGTGTAGTATTCGTCTCTTCTCTTCGATCTTCATGAATTATTCAACGATGCGACACTAATGCCAAAGATGTATCAAACAACAACGCGTTCTTTTTTTCTTATTTACGAAAAGAGTTATCAGACACCTCGTGGTATTAGAGTCGATCAAAATCTACGTTTGTACCGTTAACAAGCAGCAGGGGTCCGAAACGGGGATTACATTGCAGAAAGTTCGGTAAGTTTCCTTTATTACCAGATCTTTTACGTATAAATTTACAATGGTACACAACCTCATTATTATGTAAACTCGTCTCTCACCTTTCTTGTACCGCTAAGACGTATATTTCTAGTATTTTGTATCATGTTTGTAATCAGAGGATTTCTCAACACAAAAGCACACAGCCTATCATCAATCGACGGTGGTTTGGTTTTTATAAGTTTGGTGCGATAAAATAAATTGCATAGCCCTAGGATAGGTTGGGAGCCACGCCTGAGTATATTTTATCTTCCAAGTGTTGACCAAAAAAATTTTTTTATATGTAGTAGTACTGTTGCCTGTTTTGCATTTTGTGGTGTCAATTCAAACATGACATCATTTTTTTTTAATATTTTTTATTTGTCAATTTAAGCTGTAAGTTTAAATTAGGCATTATTATGACAAGGCGCGATTCTTTTGAGGCTTAAAGGTAAAGGTTCGGGCGATTAAGATTTTAGTTATTTGGTCTCTGCTTTAACTTCGTTGGGAACCCTACGAAATTTTACTTGATTTGGTAATGTAATACGTACGAGAGGTAGATCGACACCGTGTTGACATATCATGTACTTAAGCTGGTTAGTAAATTGTGATAAAAATACTTGAGTAAAAAATATTTCAATGAATAACAATAAAAAAGTTACATAATCTTTATATATTTTACTTATTGCATTATTTATTTAAGAGACCAAACAACAGTAAATCATCATTATACCTACCGTCTGCAGCACTCACTCTGACCACCCAAGGCTCAACATCTCATACTGGAAATGCAACCTCAAAAGACATTGATGTCATTTGGCGCCATTGTTTGGCTGGTGCTTTGAGAGTAACATATCACAAACGTAGATAGAATATTGTGCGCAACAGAGCCATGTCAACCAAATCTCAAGGTCTGAATCATTTGTATCACATTATAAATTCATCATCATACTGACTATCAACTTTTTACGTTACTGAGAGTGTCTGGCACCTAAATTCATAAAAACGTGTAAGAGGAATCAAATCTAATTTACCTTGTTTTGTTAGTATCACAGTGCGTCTGTTAAATCTCAACTTTTTCTCTTTTGACCACCATATATCATTTACCTTACCTTATTTTTAACGAGAAATATAATGTAAACAGAACACTAAGGATGCAAATCTGATAAACTCTCACTTACTTATATAATTTACGAACAAAATAACTACACTGTCGATAGAAGATGCATTTCGACCACGATTGAGACTTGTATCGATCCTAATTCGAAACTACCGCTGACAGAAAATTTCCCCTGCTTTCTGTTAGTGCACAAGTGCTCTCAAAGGATATCGCAATAAGCAAATAATCAAGGACGATATATAATTGAAATACAAATTTTGAATTAAAAGTGCTACTGATGCATCGCAAGACACTTGTACCACTTGTATTGTGTATACAAAATCTCCTATAGTGATATGCATATCAGTTTACAGAGTTAGTGAAGCGTTATTATAGATACAAAAATATATACTTATCTAGATCTTTCGTAACTTACTTATAAGCTTCCGGGAGAGCATCAGAATGGATAAGTCCCATAGGTGGGTGCGGTGCTTGCCCTTCGCGGGGCGGTACGTTCATAACAGCAACGACTCGCTCAGCTTCAACGTTAACTTCACTGACTACGACGCAGATGAGGTCATTTGCCATGTAGCTTCTTGTTACACCTTTCTTGTCCACCGCCGGCACTGTGGCCGTGTTCAATATTAGAGCCTGTTCAACACACGAAATATTAAATCCAAATTCAAAACGACGTTAAGAACCAGTGTAAACAAAAGTCAATGTACCTTAACACTTAAATCCGTAACAACCCGAGGGCAATCACTGCAGTTGCAGAGCACCTTCAGAAGAAGCCCAGCAGCACTTTTACCCATCACTTGCGCGTAAATAACATCTCCAACGATCAAACTCTGAAACCAGGTAATTTATTGTAACTATATTTGCTAAGTGTTGAAGTGAATTAAAAGAGGAAGAAAGTAGATTCACCTCCAAAAAGTTACGAATACGTTGAGATTTCTCCATGGTGACAAAAGTGTCAAGGCCTGGCATTGTGGCATAAAATTCTGAAACAATATACAGATAATATATTCATTGTTCATAAAACTAACACGGAGTATTGGCCAAAGAAAATTCAGAAACAATTTAGGCGCGATTCTTTTGAGGCTTAAAGGTAAAGGTTCGGGCGATTAAGATTTTAGTTATTTGGTCTCTGCTTTAACTTCGTTGGGAACCCTACGAAATTTTACTTGATTTGGTAATGTAATACGTACGAGAGGTAGATCGACACCGTGTTGACATATCATGTACTTAAGCTGGTTAGTAAATTGTGATAAAAATACTTGAGTAAAAAATATTTCAATGAATAACAATAAAAAAGTTACATAATCTTTATATATTTTACTTATTGCATTATTTATTTAAGAGACCAAACAACAGTAAATCATCATTATACCTACCGTCTGCAGCACTCACTCTGACCACCCAAGGCTCAACATCTCATACTGGAAATGCAACCTCAAAAGACATTGATGTCATTTGGCGCCATTGTTTGGCTGGTGCTTTGAGAGTAACATATCACAAACGTAGATAGAATATTGTGCGCAACAGAGCCATGTCAACCAAATCTCAAGGTCTGAATCATTTGTATCACATTATAAATTCATCATCATACTGACTATCAACTTTTTACGTTACTGAGAGTGTCTGGCACCTAAATTCATAAAAACGTGTAAGAGGAATCAAATCTAATTTACCTTGTTTTGTTAGTATCACAGTGCGTCTGTTAAATCTCAACTTTTTCTCTTTTGACCACCATATATCATTTACCTTACCTTATTTTTAACGAGAAATATAATGTAAACAGAACACTAAGGATGCAAATCTGATAAACTCTCACTTACTTATATAATTTACGAACAAAATAACTACACTGTCGATAGAAGATGCATTTCGACCACGATTGAGACTTGTATCGATCCTAATTCGAAACTACCGCTGACAGAAAATTTCCCCTGCTTTCTGTTAGTGCACAAGTGCTCTCAAAGGATATCGCAATAAGCAAATAATCAAGGACGATATATAATTGAAATACAAATTTTGAATTAAAAGTGCTACTGATGCATCGCAAGACACTTGTACCACTTGTATTGTGTATACAAAATCTCCTATAGTGATATGCATATCAGTTTACAGAGTTAGTGAAGCGTTATTATAGATACAAAAATATATACTTATCTAGATCTTTCGTAACTTACTTATAAGCTTCCGGGAGAGCATCAGAATGGATAAGTCCCATAGGTGGGTGCGGTGCTTGCCCTTCGCGGGGCGGTACGTTCATAACAGCAACGACTCGCTCAGCTTCAACGTTAACTTCACTGACTACGACGCAGATGAGGTCATTTGCCATGTAGCTTCTTGTTACACCTTTCTTGTCCACCGCCGGCACTGTGGCCGTGTTCAATATTAGAGCCTGTTCAACACACGAAATATTAAATCCAAATTCAAAACGACGTTAAGAACCAGTGTAAACAAAAGTCAATGTACCTTAACACTTAAATCCGTAACAACCCGAGGGCAATCACTGCAGTTGCAGAGCACCTTCAGAAGAAGCCCAGCAGCACTTTTACCCATCACTTGCGCGTAAATAACATCTCCAACGATCAAACTCTGAAACCAGGTAATTTATTGTAACTATATTTGCTAAGTGTTGAAGTGAATTAAAAGAGGAAGAAAGTAGATTCACCTCCAAAAAGTTACGAATACGTTGAGATTTCTCCATGGTGACAAAAGTGTCAAGGCCTGGCATTGTGGCATAAAATTCTGAAACAATATACAGATAATATATTCATTGTTCATAAAACTAACACGGAGTATTGGCCAAAGAAAATTCAGAAACAATTTTGAGAGAAGACTAACGATTTTCAATAGTCTAGTTAGAACTTCTTAGGTCTTACTATACGGAGTAGAAATCTGGGGGTGGGAAGAGAGAGAGAGAGGAGAGAGAAACTGGAAAAAATACAAAAAAAGTATGTGAGGTGAACATTGGGCTTAGATTTCAATACACATGCATATACATCTACTTCCTCCATTTACGCGAGTCTCTTTACACGCGGTACTTTTTGTACGCGATCTGCATTTACGTAACTAGCGTTTTCTACAAGCCGATTGTGATTATTCAGCGATGTTTAAGCATGTCAGGGCTGTATGAGGAAAGGAAAAAAATACATTACGTTCCGCTAGTCATCATTTGTGTACTTTTATAAAGCATACAGACGCGAACGTTAGAATCAATCTTAAACAGTCGGGATTTGCAACGTTATAGTATTTTCCTTTCATTTGTACTGGCGGACTCTATCTACGCGATTTTCATTCACGTAAAACGTTGAAACAGATACGCCGCGTAAATGGAGACACAGGTGTATTATACTCGAAGAGACAAAATTAGAGAAAATCATAGTAAAAGCGGCAAAGAGGGCAGTTAAATACGAATTAAAAACAAGAACACATTTGGTAAATAAAATGATGGAAGAACGCTGGAAGGTAATCGATAGAAACGAACAAGAAACGGTTAAATCGAAATGGGAGGAGATAAGAGGCAGATATTACAATCAAAAAGAAGTAGATGGGAAAGAATTGCAACAGTGGGAATGAAGAAAAGATGAGTAAATATTGGAAGTATTCACAAAAGTACATGTGTCGCATATGTTTAAACGAGCCAAAAATGCTGAAACACATAGCGTATAACTTTGTAGGAGTAACGGTAAAGACAGAAATATCGATGAGAGAAATTTTTAGGAAAAAGAGCGAAGTGGATAGGAGATACATACCAACTAAGAAAGAATGCAACAGAAAAGAAGACCGATACGTAAACAACTATAGATATCAAATATTATAATATTATATAGAAACAATTATTGTATTTTATCTCCAAACATAATATCCATTTTAAGGCCGAAGATATCGAATAAACGATTACTATTACTTCTATATTCATTGCTCAAGATCGTGCAACACAAAGGAAATCATGTAAAGATTTTATAAGATCAACGTTTACCTTCATCTCCTAATTCCTGCTTAATAGGCTCAACTGTTTTGTCCAAATTTGATTTATCATAAAGTGCATCAGCCTTCTTTGCAAGAAACTGCTGCAGCTTTAGCCTTTTTCCTCTATCGCCAAAACTGTAAAAGGAGTAAGTAACTACTTCAATTTGTGAACTTTTAGAATAATTGGCTGACATACAAATATATATACAAGCACATACCTTAACGTTTTTTGACGTTGTTGGTAGATCTCAAAATTTGGCTCCTTGAGATTGAGCATGGCTAGCTCATTCTCATTGCGTTCTCCCTCCCAAACTTTCTGCAACTGTTGACCATGGTAGTTCAATGCTTGCGCCACAAGGCGTGCATCCATTGATTCCATATTCAGTACTGCAAGCAACCTAGTCCTGCAATACTATGAAAATCGGCGAATTCGTAATGTTTTCCTTTTTTGTCTTCAATATCCAAGATATTATCCAAATATAGCCGAAATTTTTAATAGCTGCCTCTGACCGACTGCCCGATAAGTGGCATGCAAAAAAGGACATCATCCAACAGCCAAGGACACATGTTTATAACTGATAAATCACTCTCCACGGTGATATCCAGAAAATTCTGGTATTTCAATCGTCTAAGGTTCAGTCGAATGCTATCGATAAGGACGTATCGGTCTCGCACTGTTTCATTTCAATCGCAATTCGTATATCTCCAAAAGGGAATGGTACTTTGCGCAAGAACGCGCTTAGACACAAAGCGAATTACCAAAAACCGTTTCCCTGAACAATTTACCTGCAGCCGTTGATATATTCCTCTGGCGGATTGTAAAAACGACGTAATAGAATAAATCTGTGGAATACTCTTTTACTCGGAGAAAAACGCTTGCATTGTAAGAAGAGCGCGTTATATTGATTTATCGATAACAAGATGGTCGTCGGGAAGCCGGATTGCGAAGGCTGATGGCGCCATAGCGCTCCAAATGGCCACCTCTTTTGCGATTCTCATCCACGCCCGTTTTTTCATGTGGGCATGTCAGACTGGCCAAAAAAGAACCCGGATTATTACTCACCGTTGCTCCTTTATTATCTTCTGACGACTTGTTAATGTGTTTTCCACCTATATCACGGCCCACTACGTAACATCATCGACGATTAAACAACTGCGTGCTTTTATTTCACCATACGCTGCACAAGTCACGACGAATGCGGCCGAACCGGAAACGATAAACTCAGCTCAGTTTACGCATGCGTATCTCCCCTTTTCCCCTTCCAATTTCATGATGAGATTTTATATATCATTTCCGGTTTAGCGGAACATACAAATATCCACGTTTCTCACGCACATCTGAACCACCGGAGATCGTACTAATCTGAGCTTTTTAAAAGAAATGTAAGTATACAGAGTGAGTTGTTTAGGGCAAGTCACCTGAGTAACTTCTACATTTTTTAATACAAAGAGAGATATATTTCAGACAATAGTTATTTGATTTTGTGATACATGGTGTACATAAGTTTTCTCCAGGTGGAGGTGCTTAGGAGATTTCAAGGTCAACTTCTAAATTTCTTTATATACCAAACGATGCAACTAGACATTCTTTATATAAAGTACTGATTTGAAGTTGACTTCAATCTCCTAAGCTTTTCCACCTGCAGAGAAGTTATGTACACCATGTACCTCGAAACCAAACAACTTTTATCTGAAACATTTCTCTCTATCTCAAAAGAAGTAGATGTTGAGTCAAGATTTAGTAAATAACAAAAACGATTTTTGTATTACATATTTTTATTGAAATATGTTTGAAATTTAGGTAGCATATGTATAGTAAATTTCAAACGAAACCCTATCATTTCTTAAAATTCTATAAGCAATCATACTTTGAAGTCTAAATAGGCTTTGATAGTTTGACATAGATACATTTCCATATTTTTGTCATGAAAATAAATATTGTATTCCTCCAATACTTTTAACGATTTAAATATTCGGATCATTCTTACTTATTTACCTATGTACACATTTTATTTCCCTCTTGTTTCAGGTTTATAAGAATATAAAAAATGTTACTAATTTATTTATTGTACTTTTTGAAGTTTATCTTTGCTATTTGTACCTACATTCCAGTAGTATAAAATTTGAGCAGCTATTATAGCATTTGCAAGAGTCGAACACATATACATTACTATCATTGTCATATCTCCTGTCTCCACAACAGAAGTAAATATTCTTGCTAGAGATCCAAAGAATAGCATAAAACCAGTCACTGCTGATAGTTGTCCAGTACTTCCATTTGCATAATTCGTATAGGCTTGTATTAACTAGAAAGAATATGAGATGTGACTTCTTCGATTCAGATAAGTTTCTATTTCTAAGCCATACCTTACTAATAAGAACAATGGGTATATTCATTGCTTGGCAAGCCCAAAGGACCTTCAGAGGAGTCAAGCCACTGACGACGGCAAGTAGAACTGATAAATAAGCGGTGAAGAATGCAGTTGCCTGAACTGTATTACCATTGAAATGCATAACTAATACAACAATTGTCAAAGTCTGCAGTCCAAGGAAAACTCCGTCGCCCCATGAGCTATAATTTTCATGAATTTATCAGCTATGATACATAAAATGTACATTTCTAATTATTGATTATTCAAATTATATTACCTGAATGGGAAATCACTGACGAAACTATAGGATACCATTGCAGTGATGGCAAATAAATCCAATAACACGCTGAACAAGCTGATACCCTCTGCACTTTTGTTTTTAATAATTTTTATAATCTGCGGTACTTTAACTAAAATAGGAAATCAGTTTGAAAAGTAATACACATGATGAAAGCGATATCATACACAGTTATTGAGTAAAGTATAAATAATTACTTGAAGGTAAGAGAGATAGTTAAGTAATTATGTAAAAGTTTCTAACCGAAAAGTGATCCACTGATAATGCCGAGGGCTAGAACTTTGCTCAAGGTTGCCTTGAAACATCCAACTGAAACATGTTCAAGATTTTCATGTTTTACCTGAAGAGGTGCATATCTTCTTCGCAAAAAATTCATTGTAAGTTTTATGAGAATTAATTTTAATTGTCACGAAGGAATAAGGACTTCGAATTTATCGTCGAAAAAAAAATTGAACATCATCGAGAAATCGCTATCAGTACTTTAAAAATCGACTGTACATACACACAATTCTTATTGAAACATCTTATTGCTTATGAAGTATAAAATAGTATCTGAAAAAAATATATCAGAGAGTGAAAAGCATTTAAATGTGTCAAAATCTATGAAATGATAGAGTGAAAAAATATTTCTATTTTTTTGAATGTGATTAAATGACTGTGGTACTATTGTAAGCATAATTTTTCATTTTGATAATTGATTGACAAGATTTAGGCAAATACATACCATGAAAAAAATTTAAGTCGTCGAAATATTCTTCGATACATTCTTCCGTAAAAAACCAATTCATTATTAATTGAGCCATGTTTATTACGCATACGTGTACTGCTTCGTGGAATCAGTGGAATACTGGAATATAAAGAATGAACTAATGCGAAGTAATTTTCATTTCCGTCGGTTCGACTCTTACATAGGTTAGTATATATTATACATAGGAAAACTTCGCCGATAAGAAATTATAACGATGACATTTTTTTTGTGTAGTTTTAACTAGATCACATTTACAATACTTTATAATTGGAATATAAATAGTTAATTGATTTATAAAACCTTATAGGTTACAAACTGAAATACAGTGTGGCGCCAGAGATGAAAAGGCTTTTCATCTCTGGTGGCGCGTGTGGCCGCTTAGCCGCTTCGCGCCACTGATCGAGTTGCAGGATCTACAGAGATCGCCTCTCTAGGTTCCTCTCTCCAAAAAGATCGTCGTTCTACGATTTGAATTCTGTCCAGATTTGTCTGGACTTGTCGAGACGCGCGAGATTCGTGATCTGAATAAGAAAGTTTGTTGTTTCTCCGCGTGTTGTATCACCACTATGAATTAGTGAGTTTCCTTATTATACGCAGAACTGTTTCCGTTCTCGGATTAATCGTCAATCAATGAACGATTGCTAATGTATATTCGGCAACGTGTTCGCGGCATAGGTGCCGGGCACTATGCAGCTGCGTGCTAATTGTAAGATTAGCGACCAACACTCATTACACCGCTACTACAGATTATTCCTCATGCCATCTAGAGTTAAGAACTATGAGTCTCAATTTCAATTTAAAAGAGAAATATGATCTTTCATTAACATTTTTTATTGAAAATTGTATAATCCTCAAACAATATGTCAAGAAAAAAGGATGGTATTGGAACGTTTAGATTTTAAGCTTGTTTCCGATAATACAGGGATGATATCCAAGGTACCGCTTTCCTCGACGCTCGGTTTCCTAAAGAACAGCTCTCTCAATAACGTACCTTCCATAGAAGGTTCCTCTAGGTCGCTTTTGCTCTTGATTCGTACATTTTGCGAGTGGCACGGAATGGACCCTCTATTGAATTCTTGCTGGCCACTACTATGAAAATCTTGTTAAATCAGTGAGCAATTTTAATATGTGATTTACTCAACTTAATCTATTTTTATCTTAGAGATTTACTTTCATCTCAAGAACTTTCTTATAACATTATCGCTTTCTAATGAAAGAGACGAAACGTTACTTTCGTCTATATGTATAATGATGATTAGCAATTAATCTGTTCTCACAATTTTTCTACCTACTAATTATAGTTCCTTACACTGTTATTTCCAATTTATCAGTTTGACTAGCTTGATGAACCATTTTCTCGTCGTCCTTCGTTCTGAGATGTTCTACTGCCCTTTGAAATTTACCTTCAAGGGTATCGTTTTCTGTCTGCATTTCAACTAAAGCGTTTTGTAACCGAGACTTCTCTTGTATTAAATCTCTAACGGTCTTCGTAAGTTCGAGGAATTGTTTTTCCTGTGCAGCTATCTGCCGTGTCAACAACTCCAGGATATGTGAAATTCGAGTCTTCAGATCGTTCGTCTCGGCTCGTGCCTGGTTCAACTAACAAAACACGAAACGCGGTATTAAACACAGTTTTCCTACTTGTTGTCGGTTTTTCCTCATTCAGTATCAATGACCAGCAAATTTACTAGGCAGGAAGGTAACCGTTCTCATTAAAAGTTAAACCGCGTTCCATACAGTTAGAGCTTGTAATTAAACGTGGCATAATTGTAGCAACTCCGTATATTGTTAGTTTAATGTTCACTTAAAGCTGTGCTAACGAATAATGAACCTGATGGATTGATGTTTCAATAACTTGAGTTGTAAAATAGGGATCACCTTTTGCCAAAGTTATCCTCAAGTACGTTATGTCGATATAACGACAGTAGTTGGAGAAAGTCGCGTGGCAAGGAGCCGTAATTACGATTCAAACTTAGCCGACTAACTGCAAAACACATTTGAAGCCCTAATTCATATAACATCTAACCCTTAGTTTTACGATCCCTTCATTTAAGATCTAAAGTTCTTATCAAATACTCATTACAAATGTGAATGGAAGCACATAGTTCAAATGAATCATAACTAAAAATCGCATTCATACAACATATTCATCGTAGTCGACGATTATTTCAATTCTGAATATGGTTTTTCGCTGATTCGTAATCTTCCCCTGAACAGAACGTTTACTTTTGCTTTCTTACATTTGCATAGAACTTAAAGTAGAAGTAGAAAGATCTAAGAAAAATAAAGTAGCATCCGAGGAGAATACGAGTAGCAAAGTTACTTGGAATTCTAACTGTTTCTTCTCGGTTTCACGAGAGTCCAAGGATTTCCGATACTGATTTCTCATGGCTTCCTTCTCAGATTCACTAACCGCTAACTTGGACTTGGCGTCGTGCGTTTCTTTAGTGCATCTGCATGAGAAACGGTAATCTATGCTTATATCGGCAAGACATAGCGTGGAATTATGCCAATTGCAACAACTTTGATAACGAGTGACAAAACTTTAAATGAAAACGATTTCAACCTCTAGTTGATTGAGAAAACATCGTTTCGTTTGAACTGCATTGTACGTATAAATGGTCGCACGTAAAATTCCAGTAAAGCGAAACGTTCGTTTAATCTACCCACATTAACTATATAACTTTCAATGGATATTTCATCTCCACGATCAAGAAAGTAATATCGACAGATACGTGTACTTGTATTATTTTAATGGGACTAAATATCTCACTGGCACGTCGATGTCGACGAGTAATTTCGACTAATACTTCTTCGGAATTAGCGAACACAATTGGTCCCTAGGGTTGGTTTAACTTGCGAACACACTTGACATGAATAATAGAGTTAAACTTTTACTAACAACCTGATATTATACTGATCACATCTCGTATTAAATTCTCCTACGTTGGAATGCAGTATTATCGTTGAAAGACCCACCAATATTATAAAATGAATTGCTCTCTTTAGTATAAAATCGATCAGATTATATAAGGGATGAGTTGGATGACACTCGAACGAGGTACGGAAGCGAGAAGTACGGAAGGTTGAATAATCATAATTTATTCTTTGAAACAATCTGAATTCCCGTTCACGTAATGCTCTCTGAATAAAATAAATTAAAAGGTACAACCGTCTTAATAGGATAGGATGATAAGTAGAGTAAGGATAAATGAAAAGCCGTCGCTCAGTTCAGTATTAATTACAAATGCATCGCGATACACGGTGGATGGTAGGGAAGAATTTACTTAATCAACTGCTTAACCAGCTGGGCTATCCTTCTTCTGTCAGCGGGACAGAGATCTTGAATATGGGGGAACGAGACCGCGTTCCCGTCCGCGTCCGCGGTTTCACCTTTGCATTTCCAGCAGAATTCCTCGCCGGCCTTCACCTCTTCGCTCTCTGTCGGGATCGTTTGTCTGCTCGAAGATTAAACAGTTACAACGTTTTCCTTTATTAACGAAAATAGAATAGGCGTCACGCGAGCCGGACCGATGCAACTATCAGAAGGGATTTCTGCTGGTTTCAGCTGATTGTGAGTTGGAGAATATTCTGTTCACTGATTCATGATGCAAGCGGCTGGACGAGCAACGTCCCCGCTGTGGAATTCAATTTTCCCACAGGATTACGTGTATTTCACGCAAGGCCATTGTTACTGTTAACGATTTAATTATGTCAGCAATATAATAGTTGTAAAATAATTTTCTTTTTAATTCATTTTTAAAGGTAGTATTAGAAAATATGGAACTTGCGAAATTTTTGTATGTACAAGGTGTAAAGAAATGTTTGGTCTTGGCAATCATAGGCGTATTCCATGTCTTCGGATCGGTGAAGGTCTGTAAAAAATTTAGCGCACAATTGTCATTGTCCAGTTCTTTTTTCTTTATTAAAAAGTGTTTGAAGCCTCAAGAAGGCTTATTTCCACTACATTAGTTCCTTATCCCATGACACGTAGAATATAATGCAAGGAAAGAAATTGTCAACCTTGAAATTTAAGGTCAAGGACAATTTTGCGATAACTATTTTTTACAGAACTACATCGGTCTGAAGATGTAGAATACGCCTATGACTGCCGAGATCAAACATTTCTTTACACACTCTACAATTACAGAGTAAAGTTAATGAATTTGTCATCGTATTTAATAAATTGAAGTTCAATCTGAAATCCAGGAATGAAACTACGATAAATGAACAATTTACTGTTCGCGCTAACTATGTGTCGATCACGCAACGTATCCTAACTTAATAACGAGTGTCACGTTTCAATCGAATTGTAACCTAATTACGTATTGGAAAACTGATACCAGTTCAATTCATGCACGGACCTTTGTCGTCTCGATGCATGCACTCGTTCTCCCGATAGATACGGAGGGTACGTTGATGGAGCTCGGCAAGTCTGCGCAGAAATTACGTGCTAAATCCGGATCCGTCGAATCACTGTTTCACGGACCGAACACCGTGAACCGTCGCACAATTGTACGAACAGAGCGACGAGAGAAACAATGAAACCATAGGAGGAATAAAAGGATCAAGATGGATACCTTTTGCTCCATCTTATATAGGAATTCATAAGCGTGCCGTCATCGTAGTCGTTTGAATACATTTCTGGTAGACATCGTTCCCTGGACGATCGTACTACCGGAAAGTGGTTACGACGCAGAAGGTCAGAAGTCAAGCGGCGACTTCCGAGCTCGATTCTCGTGACGAGCATACAACGCAACGTCGACAAATCCCCAGTGAGACGATTCGCTGCTGTCCGAAGAGCACTCGATTCTCAATGTGCCACCGTGTCCTGAAGTTGGATTTATATTGCGTTTTAAAAGTCGTTTTACCGTGAAGAGAAAAATAACATCGTCGGAGACTTTTATTAGCCGAGCTTAAATTATACCGTTGATAGAACAAGACGAAAATTCTAAGCTCCCTGCGAAACGGGATGTGAAGGACTTCGAGTTTATGCATTTTTTAGAAGTACTAATAAGCTCGATGAATGTGGAATTGAAATACGAGGAAAAGAAAGGGAACCAAAATGAAGAAACGTTGATTTTAGACTTTCTAAATGTACGAATTTTATTCACATAATCAATGTACTTCGGACATATTTACATTTGTCACAATTGCCCTGTCTGCAAAGTGCATCGATTCAATTCACAGATTGCTCATTTATTTCTCGTCATGTTCGATACCTGTACATTCGAAAAAAATATGTAATCAAAATAGGAATCACGATGTGAGATGCAACAGATGAAAGTAATGACTTTCTTTCTAACGAAACTTCGGAACTAAATTTCAGAATCTCTGTTCGTTAAGGATGTATTAGCTATACAGTCAATCCCAACAGTTTATACACTTTAGAAACACATTTTTTAAAAAGATATCAGACGTCGGAAGAACATTGCTAATAATAAAAAACAAAAAAAAATTTTCGATTTTTCCGAGATTTTTCCAAGGGGTACCCCTTCAATTTCTTCCAAATTTTCGTTTTTGGCCAATAACTCCCAAACCGTTGGACATACGGAAAAATTGCATAGGATCTTTCTTGTAG